TCTCGTTTACGTCCGCTGATATGTGCGGCCGAGGAGAGCTGCGTCCTCGTTTTCTCGTATAGCGGCTTTCCTCATATATCGTGCGCATAGCTCCAGCGCGATACTGAAAGATATCTCGCCCGAGGCGCTCATAGTCGCACATTGTACTTTATATTCATGCAAAAACGTCAAATAACTTCCAGGCACGGTGTTTGCCTCGTCGACCAAAAGCCAGGCGCGGAAAAGCGACGTTTGATCCTTCATCCAAAGTCCGGGGAAACTTGCGTTGCCAGTACCTATCGTCGACGTACGCGGGCGCGAACCGCGTCTTCACGATATATGTATTTTCAGCCCGTTCTATCCTTCTCGGCGTTCCTGTTTGCGAGATGACTACGCGCCAAAGAGCTACGTATAGCCACGTTACGCAGCTGTAGCGCTCTGTGCGCGTGCGATGAAACGATCAAAGAGCAAAGGGAAGGGTGTATTTCGGTGTTTGGTCGAGCGAGCAGAGCTGAAGCAACGCGACGACAGAGAAGAATTTCTCCTCCCCCTTTCGTCGTGGCAATGCCCGATTTTCGAAATGCCCTTGAAAGGAGTGCGCGGACTGCCAAGGGTAGATCGGGAAACTCTTTAGCCGCGGTCGGGATCCTTTGATCCGCTCCGTGTTGAAAGTTGCCAAAGATCCTTTTGTGTCGGATGCCCGGAGTCGTGACACTGTTACTTCTCCCGCGCTCGATCCCGCTCGCGCGCAAAGTAATCGCAACAGTTCATGAATACCGCGACGCTTGATTTTACGGATTGCACTCTTTTAAACCCCTCCCGCGAAGCCCTTTGATCTCCCGAGTTATTACGTTTACTTTACGTTGGAAGCCGAAGCACGCGCCGCGCCAAAGTTTTACTGGAATACGCGGGGCTGAGAGCGCGAGATAAATATCCTTGATACTCACGAACAGATAACTTGTGTTGCGCACCGCGATCTCTTGCTTAAAAGGTCTCATTGTGAATTACGAATTGAAATCCCCTCGTGTAATAAGCGCGGAGAAATAATCTTTCTTATACGTGATCCGATAATATCGCAAAAATGAAGAGGTCAGTGACTACGTTAGTGAAATATCGAGACCGCAAAAAAAGAAGCGATGAGTTATTCCTACAAACCGCAAGCAATAAGATTCATCCCGTTACAGACCATTAATAACCGCTAGACATCGATAACCACATCAGCACATCTTTGAACACCTGCAAATATCTCTCTCCTAACAATACAATTGCTTTTAAAACCGCTGAAACACGGTGCGACTCAAAGAAGCGCATAAATGGAATCCCTTTGCCGCAGGTAGTCACGAATTTGTATACGTCCCACAAAGTCGCAAGTTTCCACTCCCAAGTCAAGTCGGACCTCGCTCTCGACTCGCTTCTCTTTTTCCTCTCAGACAAGAACGATACCGTGTATTTATATAAGAGAAAAAAAAACGTAGACGATACGATAACATCGATCTGATGAAACTAAAAAACCGCGATAATCTATCTTTGATTGAGGAGGATTCAGATCTTATGTGGATAAGACGCGCGACCCGATCGAGTTTGTGTGACTAGACGCATCTGCCCATTGGCTAAATAACAGCCAGCGAGGGAAGAAGGACCGGTATCTGGAGGAATCTACGCGCACGTCGAGAGAAAAAGAGAGAGAGAGAAGATGACGTATATAAGCACGTGGGAAAGAGACAGAGGGCACGGCTAAGGAAAAGAAAGGCGATACGTGCGGTCTATAAAGACGCTGCGCGAACCCACATCCCCGCGGCCGTTGCGCCGCGGGGGAGGTTGACATGTTTATTTCGCTCCGTAATCTTCTCGGATTATGTTACGGAGGAGTGAACGAGAGAGAGAGAGAGAGAGAAAGGGAGAGAGAGACGAACGGACGCAAAGTGGAGAGAAACGAACCGGAGGAACAGTCGGCCTTCGGCGAGAGAAGTTCTGGACGATATTCGTAGCTCGATGTGTGTTCTGAGGGAATCTCTTGCGGTTTTCGGTACATCCTTGAGGAATGTTCGCGTGGTTCTCGGGGATTAGTTTCCTACATTTGTGATATTCTGCGGCTACCACTTCGTGATATACGCGACACGCATCGATGCGTTGCGTATTTTTGCGAAATGCAGCCGGATGCGATCGATGAAAAGAATTATTTCTATCATTTACATCTCCGTGCAAATGAAAAATATAAAAACTGAGAATCGCGTAGAGACATATTCTAATATTTTAGGACGGTTATAACTGAATAAGAATCTGTTCATTCAATTATCAGGAATTAAGACGTTGAAATTTATGTCTGACATTTCTAATCCGGCAGGATTATCGTCATTTATCTCTCGGCGGTGAATATTAAACTATTGAGAGCGCCTGACTCTTCCAACTGAAATTTATATATATAACCGCATTTATATTTATCTGACTCGATTTTTTCCACAACATAACGTCGCTCGCATCCATCGAAAATTCCTCGAAAGTGTGATCGTATATTATACGCATACATTTCCTGATCCTCCTCTGAAAGGCGACCGCATCGAGAACCGGTAGCTGTATCCTTTTGACTAGGGTCCAGTTTGGTAGTCGCCCTACCTGTTGTCATACGATATTCAAGATGCATCATTTAAGCCGCTCTTGTATCGCGCTCGCCTTCTAGTTGTTACGAAAAAGAGTATCATCTTCGCTCGCTTTAGTCGCAAACGCCGACGTTGCGACGATATTGCACCAGAGAAGAGATGCCGGTGGTTTACCTCTAGGCATGTTCGACAAAAGAAAGAAAAAATTGTAGCCAGGCTTTTCTCCGGTCGGCTTTTCCAACCAAACGGAGCCCAGGACAAGAGGATTCGTGCCAACTGCAGTGTAAAATGCCATGTGGCAGTCACGCATAGCGCAACGCTGTCGAGTGTTTTAAATCTTTGAATGGATAATACCGAACACGTTTATATAAATTGAATTCTCATCCCATAGGATTAGGGCGAACTCGAGATGAGAAATCTGTGTATAGCTCAGCGATATACGCGCTCATAATGCGCATATTGCACGGGTCGTCGTTGCATCGATTATTCCGCGTCATGAATCTTCGAGAGCATTTTCGGCCTGCATACCCGTGTACATGGCTCGCAGCGGTATATGCACTAGTTTCATCGATTTTCCGAAAGCTGTTGTTGATCGAAAACATGAAAAGCGATATTGAAGAGATTCAATCTCGTTGGAATAAAAAAAAACATTCGCTCGCATTAAGAATTTACTGTAAAAAAAAACTAACTCAAATTTCAGACAAAATGTCTGCAGCTTTTTTGCAGACACACTGTCTGAATTTTCAGAAAAATGATTCTGATAATTAAGACAGATTGTTTGATATTTCTTCAGACATCTAGATCTCAAAATTCAGACAAAAATGTTTGAATTTAAAAAAATTTTTTACTATATTTGTTATACAAAATTATACATATTTTTACATGAAAAAGTTACCGCATTGAAATAATGTACAAATATCTTACTGTGTTAAAAATAATATTGCAATCCGATTAACTTGATTATTTCGCACGGTATCGTTTTAAATGGAGGGTAAATTATGTTATCGTGATTTTATATCCGGGGAACAAAAGCTCGTATCGTGAATACGGAACTTAAAAAGGCGGCTCGCTGTTTCTTTTTTTTCACAGCAAGCTAAATTTCACCTTATTCCATTACACGTTTGCTCACGAGAAAAAGTTTGCTGTACAATAGCGCTTACGGATATAATCGAGCATCTAGCGAAAGACCTTGACGAACGACATTGATAAACAATCCCTTAGTTGCGTTTCAACTAACCGACTCGTAGGATCGTATAACAGCTTGGTACTAACAAGCTTTGCATATACGCACGCCAGATGTATGTTCGCGTTCGTAAGTTTCTACGCGAATTTTGTTGCATGATATGCACACATCGCGTGGATTTTAAGCATCTCGCTGGGAGTTTAAAGTATCGATCGATAAGCGAGGGTAATTCTCGCGTAACATTCGAGGTGTAATGCCCTACGAACAGCGATGTTATTTAAGCATAAATGTAGATTAATACGCGCGAAGAAATATACGTTACTAAAATCTTGTTGCAAAGCGATGCGTTTCGCAGACAATATATTTTATTTAAAGATAAACTCCATGAAATCTCTTTACGCGAAGTTGACTCATGCCAGGCTTTAAATGCATCGAGTGTTTTAAATTTTGAATTCAAAAACATATATATAAA